TTGCTAAGAGAATTCATGGAAAAAGTCACTTACGAGTGACGGTCCATGCAATCGCCAAGGGTCAGATACGACTGAATGGATAGATAGAGAGAGATAAAGGTGAAGATGCACTTTGGAACAAATTTAGTAAACTTTTTTTAAGTTCTCTATAAAAACTATGTTCCAGAATTTCTGAGCTTCTTATACTGTCATTCAGAGTTAGGTTTCTCTGTAGGGTTACCACACTTTCTGTTACCTTTCTTGTTGTTTATTAAAAGGAACTGTTATAGTGATCGAAACACAGATTTAAGAATGTATTTATCAAGTAGCAGTTTTTATCCCTGTTGGGTTTTTCTCCATAGTTATAAAAGGCAAATATTACCAATATACTTGCTGGCCTAATATGTATGAAACAGTTTTTCCACAAGAATGCCCTCTCCCCTTATCTGGCCCAGGAGGTGTAGGATTACTCACTCATTCCTCTTCTGTAAGCTAGTTGGTTTGGTGGCTGCCTTCTGCTGGGCTGGCTCCTTCACTGGCTCCACAGTTGGTTCTCTCTCTGGGGAAAGTGAGGTTGAGTGACCTCCTTTTTAGGTCACAGCCTGTAGGTAGGCGCCTTCCCACTGGGCCCCCTCCCAGGCTCCTGCATCTCAGCCTCTCTCACATCTTTGACCTGAACTCTGCTGCTGAGAAGGCTCTATCATATTTAAAGGCTGCCCTTGCCCCATGCCAAGCCTCCTTGGGGATTGTCCAGAGTCCTCTAAGTGTGCAGGCCAGTCCCTCCTCACCCCCACCCACTGCTTCGAGAATCTTCTCTAAATTTCTAGAGCAAGGGGAGGTATCAGGGAACTGGCCGAGCCCTCAGCCCTGACCTAAATTTGAGCCACTGACTCATTCCCAGGCTGCTACTCAGCCTTCCTTTCTGAAAAAAAAACTAGCTAGCTCCCCCTAGCTAACTAGAAGGGTGCTACACTTAGAAAGTAATTGTAGTTGTGCAGGGTCTTTTGTATTGATGTGAATCAATGCTTAACAAATACCTGTTGATCCCATGAGTATTCTGCTCTCTCTGATATCTTCTTTAACCTTTTCCAAGCTCTTTAAAAGTTTTCTCAATGCCAAAAACTTTTCATGGGCTTCCCAATTGTATGATCATTGTGATTGGCTGTCATCGGGAGTCCGTCTCACTGACTCCTGAGCTTGAACAGAAACTTGGAGTTGTCAGTGACAGCACAGTCACAGTGTTGAGGTTGCCAAATGAGCATGACCCCAGCACAGAACAGCAAAAGCAGCTGCATGCATACACATGGCAGCTCGGTGATAGCTGGCGTTAAGGAGTTAATCAGGTGGCCAGCCGCTCCCAGTTGTTCATGTTTGAATTAAGTTCAGTTGTGCTTTCACCTAATATACTGTAGCTGATTGACAGCCGCTCTGACCTTTTAGCAATAATTCCTGTACTGACTCTACCTTCTGAAACTCCTCCTCCTAGAACCTCTGTAGTTCAAAAGGCAGACTCTGTGAAATGTGTGACACAGCAGTGTCTACCCACAGGGCATAATTAATACATGCCACAGAACTCAAGGAGGTACATGTGTGGAAATCTTCACAAAGTTTATACACTTCAATATCATTCAGATTAAGACATAAATTCTTAATCTGTAGCTTTTGGTATTTTTTTTGCCAAAGCACCTGAACTCAACTCAATAAAAGCCTGTGTGTCCATGTACACATAGTGGTTGATTTACTAAAGGCAAATAGACTGTGCACCATACAAGGTGCAGTTGCACTCGGCAAGTGCAATTGCTCCAGGGCTTTGTAAATGAGGTAATTTATATACCTATTTCCACCCACACTTGTCCCAAAGTCCACCATTTTAACTACTAGAAAGGTCCCCATTTTCCTTCATGTGTACTGAATACAAAAGACGAGCAAATGCAAAATGGTAAAGTCCACCTACCTCCATTATTAGACTCACATGGATACTAACAGAATAAAATAGGCACCTGCTTGAACTTATTACAGATCGTGACAATGCATTCCATGTGTGTACACAGACCACTTTCTACCATCCAGCTAAAGTGTAAAAAACAAAACATAATAACAAGAAAATGAAATTAAAATGTAAGCGCATGCATTCTACCTCAGAAATCTGATAAGAAACAATTCAGATCTAATTCCACTTTAACCACTTGCCTACCGGGCACTTATACCCCCTTCTTTACCAGGCCAATTTTCAGCTTTCAGCGCTGTTGCACTTTGATTGACAATTGCGCGGTCATACAAGATTATACCCATATGAAATTTTTATCATTTTTTTCTCACAAATAGATCTTTCTTTTGGTGGTATTTAATCGCCACTGGGCACTTTACTTTTTGCACTATAAACAAAAAGTGTGCCAAAAATTTGAAAAAAAAAAAAAGTTTCTTTGTTTCTATTATAAAATTTTTCAAACAGGTAATTTTTCTCCTTCACTGATGTGCGTTGATGAGGCAGCACTGATGGGCACTGATAGGCAGTACTGATGGGCACTGATAGGCAGCACTGAAGGGCACTGATAGGCGGCACTGATAGGCAGCACTAAAGAGGTGGCACGGATAGGCGGCACTGATAGGCAGCACTAATGAGGTGTCACGGATAGGCGGCACTGATAGGCAGCACTGATGATGGGTACTGATAGACAGCACTGATAGGTGGCACTGACTGGCATCACTGCTGGGCACTGACTGGCGGCACTGCTAGGCATTGACTGGTGCAACTGCTGGGCACTGACTGCCACAACTGCTGGGCACTGACTGGTGGCAGCACTGCTGGGCTGCATTGATGGGCACTGGTGGGTGGCACTGGTGGGCACAGGTGGGTGGGCACAGGTGGGTGGCACTGCTGGGCACAGGTAGGTTGCACTTCTGTGCACGGGTAGGTGGCACTGCTGGGTGGCACTGGTGGGCACTGCTGGGCACAGGTGGGTGCACTGCTGGGCACAGGTGGGCGTAACTGGTGGGTGGCACTGCTGGGCACCGATCATCAGGGCACAAATCATCAGTGCCCTGATGATCGGTGCCGATCCCTGCTCTGACAACTGCTGGTTCTCGGCAGTACTTTCCCCACGTTCTGACAGCGTGAGGAAAGTGCGTTTCCCGGTGATCAGCGTGTCAATGGACACGGCTGATCACATGGTAAAAGGCCGCTGTGATTGGCCTTTTAGCACATCACATGATCAGCTGTGTCCGTAGGACACAGCGATCACAGAGATCACCGCGGGTTCTGAGAGGACGGCATATGACGTCCTCCCAGAACTAGCCAGCTGCAGTGTAGCCATCATTCGGCTATCTACGGTTGGCAAGTATTTAAGACCCTTGGAGCGTAAGCTGTCTAGTTCAAATATCCAAAAAGTTTAGTTTTTGGAAGTATCTCCTTCTCTATTGGACCCCCTCCTATGTTCCTGAGCTGTATCAATACCACAGAATTTTAATTCGGATGGATCAAAATTATGGGCTTCCATAAAATGCTTGGACAAGGAATGGCTTTTTAGACCTTTTTTAAAATATTTTGCACATGTTCACTTTGTCATGTAATATTCTGGTAGTGCGATCTATGTATTGTAGGCCACAAGTACATTCAAGCAGGTAGGTTACAAAAGCCGTATTACATGAAATATACACTTTTATCTGATATCTTTTTTTTGTGTGATGTTAGACCCAGATTCACAAATCTTCTTTCTGCTTGCCTTTGTAGTATTGCAGATATTTTTTTCCTGTGGTGGGGAGACTATATTTTCACCAGACTGGTTTTAAAATTATGTGAAAAGAAAAAGGGTTCTGTTGCGCTTAGGAAGAAAAATTACATATATTTATAAAAGAATTGACTATATATAAGATACCTATATAGCAGCAGTCCAAATTGTGAATTACCAAACACAAAATCTTATATATTTCAAAAATGGACAAATTGACTAAATAAATTGTGCAATCTATGAAGTTGCATCATAAGCCCTCGCCGTGTTTAGACCAATAGATCGTCTTCAGGAAGAACATGTTGAGGGCTTATGACGCAACTTCCGGTATTTGGAATGCATGCTGGAACGCAGCGGCCATCTTTATTCCCATTCATAATACACAAAGCTGCATACACCTAGTGCCAGGAAATGCACTTTTCTATTGTTTGACCCCATATTAAAGTTCTATACAGTTTTACACTATGGGATGTCTGGTTTTGTTTTAATTTATGCTGAAAATATGAAATACTGCCTGTGGAGGAGAGGAGCTTCCTGACATTGATACAGTCCTAGTGGAAAGTTATTGGTTACTACCAGCAACCACGGTTACAAGGGCAAAGGAATATCGGCCATCAAGACTGGATTGCATACTGGGATAGTCCCAAAAAGCGAGTGTGACTTGTTGGTGCTGGTTGTCATGAAATGACGGTGAGTTTACATCTATGTGGGGCACCAGTGTGAACACAGTGAAGTACTTGTCATTTCAGCATGGAGTATCACCGTTAAAGATAGAGCACTGTTGCACTGATTATTCACATGTTGGCACTGAATATTAATATTGTACTTGAATTTTACTCATTGACATCACTTCATAGACTGCGCAATTTATTTAGTCAATTTGTGACCTTAGCGCAGTCCATTTTTGAAATATATATGGTTTTGAAATTAGTGGCTTTCTGTTAAATTAATTGTGGCTGGGAAAGAATAAGAGAAAAAAATCTCTTCTCAGAATTGGTCAATATTTCCTAATAATGCCTTCAAACTCCTTATACTGACCAAGAATACAACCATATACTGCAATTTTATGCCCACTTCTCTTTTTTCCTTGCCTTTTTTATAAGAGGTGTAGCAATTATGACATTCAGAAAGATGGATGATTAGTAAACCTTTTCTTGGAAATAAAGCCATGATCCTAAAATATGTCATACAGTATTTGGCAAGGCGAGTGGTAACTTCACAGAATGAGTCATCCAGTTGTATAAATACAGCAACACTTCTAAGCTGGGGAACGCATCCTGGAGAGGCACCACGATGATGAAGATCCCTGCAGTACTCACTCTGGCTCTGCTGAGCTTGACTCTTTGTACTGATGGAAAGGTAAACTATAGAAGGGTAGCCAGTTTTACCAGTTTTAACTATAGAAGGGTAGCCAGTTTTATTGAAAATATTAATGTTGCTAGTACTGACTATAAAGCTACTCTGTTCTTCTTATCTATGTTGATTAGACAATGAATACATGTACTTATGAACAAGCAGGGAAGTGTAGAGGTGAAGTAATGCATTTTATTTGCAAACCAAGCTGGCCATACATTATACAAATTTTCTTGTTTCATTTTCTTTAGATTTGCCAACTATGCAGTGTAAGGGTCTGCCAGATTGCATACAAACTGAAAATTAGGTTTGACCTCATATTATATGGTTTTGGTAAATCTAAAGGAAAGATGTACAAGAAACCTGTATAATGTATGGCCAGCCTTTTAGGGCTACATTCACATGTGCAGCCAGGGGTGCATACTGTGCTAAGTTTAGAGGCAGCTAAACACCACCTCTGGATGCAGCAACAATCTGTCCTATGGACACACACAAACCGGCCGATTAGCTGCCTGACCAGTTTGTGTGCGGCCAGAACTCTGCAGATATGTCATCTCTGGATGCACACTGTCTGCATTCAGGGTCAGTCAACTGCACTGTTCACATGTAACCATTCAGATTACAGCTGATATGCAATGGTAGCATTTAGAACCACTGGTGAGAATCTACTTATTCTTTTCGGTGGCCGCCCCTGTGAGACTTTGTGAGACTTTGTGAATGTAGCCTCATTCCAGTCAATGTTTGCTATCTAGTTATGGATAGGGTGATAAGGAGTTAAAGTGTTACTAAACCCAGGACCCTGCATTCACTATATCTGGTCTCCCACAGTACACAGATCAAGGAAATGCAATTATTTTAGTAAATATAAACTGCTAAATCCATTTTCTCATCAGCAGTTAGAGCAGTCTTGTGACTTCTATCAGTGTCCAGCAGAGCACAGGTTAAAGCTTTTAGGATTAATTTTCATTTCCCCCTGATTGTCCTATGAGGCTGCAGGACCCCTGACCCTCTGTCTGGACAGGTGCTGATTGCCCCTGTGCTGACCACATGCACCCTCCCAAAAAAAGAAATAAAACTCTCTAGCAATACACACCAAACTGAGCATGTGCAGCTTGCCCCCAAGGCTCTATTCTATCAGGAGACGACATGGGGACAGCAGAAGAAAGGGAGGATCAGAGAATACAGGATCAAACATCCTTTTTACACAATGCAGAGGTTTTCTCTGGAACCCTTAAAGTGTTACTGAACCCACAACAGTAAAATCAGTCTGTATATGCTGTAAAGCGTGCTTGCTATACACTGTGGAACCTAAGGGGTTAATCCCCTGTTAAACTGCTGTTTGATCCTGACTTCTCTGATCCTCACCTTCCCAGTGTCCCCCTCTTATCTCCTGATAAGACATATTGTGTGGGGACACTCTGCACGTGCTCAGTTTAGTGTGTATTGCTAGAGAGGGTTTTTTTTCCTTGGGAGAGTGTGTGTGATCAGCATAGGGCCAATCAGCACTGTCCAGACAGAGTTGAGAGGTTCTGCATCCTCCTAAAGCAGAAAGAAAACTCTTACAAGCTAACCTGTGCTCTACTGAACACTGATAGAAGTCACAAGATTGCTCTAACTGCTGATGAGAAAAGGCATTTAGCATTTTATATTTACTAAAATAATTGCATTTCCATGTTCTATGTACTGTGGGAGACCAGATAGAGAGGATGCAGGGCCCGGGGTTTAGTAACACTTTAAATTCCACAGTGAGTATAACAAGCATGCTTTACAGTATATACAGAATCATTTTACTGTTGTGGGTTTAGTAACACTTTAAAATTTCTGCCAGGTTTCTATTTCTCCCTGTAACCCCATGGCCCTTTTTATATAATCCAGGAGAACTCTGTACTGACAGGACACGAGGGAATATCTCCCCAATAGAGACACAGTGAAAAATCGAAGAGGTTCTAATATTTCTTTACTATCCAAAACAAAATAAAAAGAGTTAAATAATGTCTTCATATCTATTTTAGCACACAGATAAAAAGTAGCAACTAGAATTCCTTTACAGAATGTGGAAATTTGTATTGAAATGTTGTCTAGCTTTTAACAGTACTGTAAATTGCCCAAGTTTGATTCATTAGTTTAACCACTTAAGATCCAGAAGAATTTACCCCCTTCATGATCAGGTCATTTTTTTGCTATTTAAAACTGCGCTAATTTAACTGGTAATTGCGCAATCATGCAACTCAGTACCCAAACAAAATTTGTTTCATTTTTTTACACAAAGCAAAGCTTTCTTTTAATTTTGATCACCACTGGGTTTTTTGTGATATCAAAAAAAAAATGAAAATGAAAAACAAATAATATTTTTTACTTTCTGCTATAAAACATATTTAAAACTGTAAAAAAATCTAATTTCTTTATAAATTATGACCAAAATGTATTCTGCTACATGTATTTGATAAAAAAATCCCAATAAGTGTATATTGAATGGTTTGTGTGAAAGCTATAGTACCTGCAAACTATGGTATATATACTGGATATTGTTTTTATTCTACTAATGGTAGTGGTCAGTGACTGCAATTGAACTGCAATAATGCGGCGGGAAATCTGACACTAACTGACACTGGGGGGGAACTGACTAACTGACACTGAAATTACCAGTGACATTATTACAGTGATCAGTGATAATACTATACTACACTATCACTGTACTAATGACACTGGCTAGGAAGGGGTTGGCATCTATTGCAATCAAGGGTTAAATGTGTGCCTAACAATGTAAACAATGTTTACTATGTGTTAAGTGTGCTGCTTTTACTAATATATCTCTTAGTTCAAAGCAGGGATGAGAAACAGAGAGACCATTCCTCTGTACAGAGCTCTGTGTTGATTGTCAACACAGAGCTCTGGGCTCTGATTGTACACAGCTGATCAGCAAGTCCTGGCCATGAATCACTAACTAGGACTTGCTGACAGGCTCCTGCTGTGTACAATCACAGTGGGTGCCGGCAGGGTGTACCTCCCCCCACCCATGCAACCCGAGAGCAGGAAGCGACATACAGGTATGTGGCACTTGCCTGTGCTGGCCACCAATCCTCAGTACAATGAGGGTGGGCGGTCCGCCAGTGGTTAAGACACAAGCACCAGAAAATGTATTTATATATATATATATATATATATATATATATATATATATATATATATATATGTATGTACCTGCCTGCAGGTACACTGCTATCTATGCATGCATCTCTTAAACAAAACAGTATGTTGCTCTGTATTTGATAATTATACCATTTATACTCGTCTTTCTCAATCTTTGCACCCCAAATAAAATAATTTACATGTTTAGAGAACCCTGATAAAACCAAGTCATTGGTGGCCAGTTGGAAGAATGCCCCCTTGCAGACAGCTAAAAAGATCATTGATGTCCTGCAGCTGGCTCTGCCATGTGGTTTTGGCCCTGGCACTATGCAGGCACCATCAGCTAGAGAGGACGATTAGCCACAGCTCAAGGAAACCCCTACCAACATCTGGAGGAACTCTGGTAGGGGAATGGCTGATTTAAATATAGCGTGCAAGAAGAAAACACCTACAATTTTCCAGTTTTAAAGAATATGTAAACCCAACATTTCATATTCCTGAGCTTTACTATGTACTTGTATGGAAAAGTATCCTGTTCTCTTTGTATTGCTTCTTTTTTTGTGAAATGGTTCTGCCAGTCCCCCTACTTTGCTAAAAACTGACTACATTATGCATTAGAGCACAGTGTTCTCATTTCTCTATCTGTGGGAACTCAGAGTGTTCCTTTTCAATGATCAAACATGTGCTATGCCCCCCCCCCCCCCCCCCCCCACACACAGCAATTCACTGTGCTTTACACCACTGCTGTATCCAATGCCTTTCATTGCACTTTGTGATATAAGGCTTGGATGCAGCTTCTCGGCCATGGAAACCCATTCCATGAAGCTCTCTACACACTGTTATTGTGCTAATCTGAAGTCCACGCGAAATTTGGAGGTCTTTAGCTATTGACTCTGCAGACAGTTGGCGACTTCTGCTCACTGTGTGTTACGCATGCGCTGACCCCGCTTTGTCATTTTACGTGGCCTACCACTTTGTGGCTGAGTTGCTGTTGTTCTCAGTTGCTTCCACTTTTTTACAATACCACTAACAGTTGAAAGTGGAATATTTATTAGCAAGGAAATTTCATGGATGGACTATCATGCTACCACGCTTGAATTCACTAAGTTCCTGAGAGCGACCAGTTCTTTCTCAAATGTTTGTAGAAGCAGTCTGCATACCTAGATGATTGATTTTATATAGCAGTGGCCATGGAGGTGATTGGAACACCTGAACCTAATGATTTGGAGGGGTGTCCCAATACTTTTGGCTATATAGTTTGTGTATATATATATATATATATATATACACACACACACAAATGTTTTGCCTTACGTTTCTATTTTAAACTTTATGGGTTGTTTTACAAGGTGAGGGTTTACATATTCTTTAATCTTTTCAGCTATTACATAATTTCATCTCCTGATTCTATTGATGGCAAAAAAGCTAAAACACTTTGATGCTACTCACTTAGAGTCTAACTCTGGACTCCACATTTTCCATCTAGATACCCTCTTTTTTTCTGCTTTTAATTTTTTTTTAACACTTGCCTTATCCAAAGTTTTCAAACTGATCATGTGACTCTGCAGGGTCCTCTTTTTTTTTTTTTTTTTTCTCTTCTTTGGGTTGGCAGTCCTTACTGAGGCAGAGAGCAATGTTGATATGATAACGTTCTGCAACAGTACATTGAGAATAAATGGCCCTATGGCCCACAGGGGAAGATGGACAACACCTTGTGGGCGAAAACGTTCTGTGGAAAAATACAGTTGTGTTCAAAATAATAGGAGTCAGACATCACTAACCTGATCAATCACTGTTTTTGGTAGAAATTGATATTTCTACATGGCAAATAATTTACTAGCAGGTGTAGTAGAGTAATAGAAATCCAACAGACCCAACAGTCATGACATGCATGCTGCTGATTCTGTGTAATTGAATCACTAATTGAAAGGGGCATGTTCAAAATAATAGCAGTGTGGAGTTCTATTAGTGAGGTCATTCATTCTTTGAAAAACAGGTGGCAATTATTGCCCTTATTTAAGGAAGGAAGGCAGCAAATGTTGTACATGCTGGTTACAGTGCATTTCTCTCTGAAATTCTGAGGAAAATGGGTCGTTCCAGACATTGTTCAGAAGAACAGCGTACCTTGATTAAAAAGTTGATTGGAGAGGGGAAAACATATAAAGAAGTGCAGAAAATGATAGGCTGCTCAGCTAAAATGATTGCAAATGCTTTAAAATGGCAACCAAAACTTGAAAGACGTGGAAGAAAGCGAAAAACTACCATTCGATTGGATAGAAGAATAGCCAAAATGGCAAGGACTCAGCCAACAATCAGCTCCACGAAGATCAAAGAAGGTGTAAAGTTACCTGTGAGTACTGTTACAATTAGAAGACACCTATGTGAAGCCAAGCTATCTGCAAGAAGCCCCCGCAAAGTCCCACTGTTGAAAAAAAGACATGTGCAAGAGGTTACAATTTGCCAAAGAGCACATTGACTTGCCTAAAGAGAAATGGAGCAACATTTTGTGGACTGATGAAAGTAAGATTGTTCTTTTTGGGTCTAGTGGCCGGAGACAGTTTGTCAGACGACCCCCAAACACTGAATTCAAGCCACAGTACACTGTGAAGACAGTGAAGCATGGTTGCGCAAGCATCATGATATGGGGATGTTTCTCATACACGGTGTTGGGCCTATTTATCGCATACCAGGGATCATGGATCAGTTTGAATACATCAGAATACTTGAAGAGGTCATGCTGCCTTATGCAGAAGAGGAAATGCCCTTGAAATGGGTGTTCCAACAAGACAACGACCCCAAACACACATGTAAACGTGCAACATCTTGGTTCCAGACCAACAAGATTGACGTTATGGAGTGGCCAGCCCAATCCCCGGATCTTAATCCAATAGAAAACTTGTGGGGTGACATCAAAAATGTAGTTTCTGAGGCAAAACCAAGAAATAGAGAAGAACTGTGGAATGTAGTCCAATCATCCTGGGCTGGAATACCTGTTCACAGGTGCCAGAAGTTGGTTGACTCCATGCAACACAGATGTACAGCAGTTCTCAGAAACAGTGCTTATACAACTAAATATTCATTAAGTGATTCAAAGGAAAGCAAAATCTGGGTGCTTCTAAACTCTGCAGAGAGAGACCACTGCTTTCACACGCAGAGCAATTCTCTCAAGGTCTTTGTATTATTATTTTTATTAATTTTTTTTTATAAGGATTGGTGGCTTCTAGAAAAGCAGGGAATGGATTAGGGAAGGGATAAATCCCATCTGCCTATTTTTTGCTGTTTGTGTCTGATAGGGGAGATTTCTCTTCTTTTCTTGTCCCGGGGGATGCAATAGGACATAAGAGGAAATCTTCCCAAGTGAGGGGAATTCCCCTCTTAGACACTTGTCCACAGAACAGGTGCTCCCATCGGAAGATTTTTCCCTAATTCTTTTTCTAGGGCTGAATTTTGGATTTCCCTTTCATTCTTGTTGATATTAGAGCGGTCTCCTAAAACAGAGGTCTCCTCAACAGGGACACAACTGAAATTAAAACTTGACAGAGGGTCTAACCAACTTTCTATCCAAAAGTAAAAAAAAATGCCTAGAGATACATTTTATTTCTATTGCTATAATTTCTGTGACCAGGTGTAGTCTGATTCCGAATCATCTAAATAACAAACTATTTACTCACTCTGTTTTCTGTAGGTTACTCGGTGCAGCCTGGCAGGTTTCTGGAAGAATGATCTTGGCTCTAACATGACCATTGATATCTTTGAAAATGGAACGTTTATAGGCAAATATCTGACAGCTGTATCTACCACTAATAAAACAATTTTGCAATCGCCTCTGGTTGGGTATCAGCAACCTACTGATGTTCCATTGTTTGGATTTACAGTGAGGTGGTCTTTTATAAGTAAGTTATATTTCCTGTTAATGTTAATTTGTTAAAGGGGAACTTCACCAAGGTTGTAACATTATTAAAAGTCAGCAGCTACAAATACTGTAGTTGCTGACTTGCAGGGAACCTGCCAGTCCATGGAATGAAGCACTGTCTTCCCTGCAGCCGATTTTTCACTGAGCTTTAGCTGTCCATTTTGGAGCCAACTAGGATTCTCTGATGTCTCATAGTCAGTTCCCCACTGTGCATGTGCGAGGCTCAGAGGTGCAGTGAGACTGACCCTGCAGTCTCCTAGGATGTGCGATGTATTCCTGGAGGCTGCAGGGGGTGCACATTTTAGAGGCTGGGGGGGGACGGGGACAGAGGAATAAGCTGCCCACTTTTCTTTCCTTAAAGTCTAACTAAAGGCAAAACCTTTTTAAAATTTTGGACAGAATGGAGAGGGAATAGAATGCTTGTCAGCTTTTATTGCTGTCTGTGCTCCTGTTAAGAAGATTCACCATCTCTATTTGTCCTGTTTACCATTTTCATTGAAATTGAAAGTAAAAGAAAATCCCAAATCTAGGGCTGTCCCAGAAAAGTAATAGAGGGGAAATCTTCCAATGAGGACACTAGTTCTCAAGACTTGGGGGTCCCCAAGAGATTCCCTTAATGTGTAAGGATTTCCTCTCACTTCCTGTTTAGCTATGGAACAGGAAATGAAGGAAAATCTCTGCAATGGGACACAGATGTCAAAAAAAGAAAAAAAATCTTACAGGGTTATAACCCTCCTTTACTCTGTCCAAAATGAAAAAAAAAATGTTTTGTCTATAGTTCTACTGTAACCACTTGGTAACCGCGCTATAGCTGAATGACGGCTACCGCATGCTTACCCAGGTGCGTGCACTCGGTGATCTCCGTGGTCACTGTGTCTTATGGACACAGTTGATCATGTGATGAGGTAAAAGGCCAATCACAGTGGCCTTTTACAACGTGATCAGCTGTGCCCAATGACACAACAGATCGCGGAGTAAATGATATTGCTGGTTATTGGCGTGCTCCCATCACAGCATGAGGAAAGTACTGGCGATAACTGGAAGCTGTCACAGAGGAGATTGGCACTGATCATCAGGGCACTGATGATCAGTTCCCTGCAGTGCCGCCCAGCAGTGCCACCCACCAGTGCCCAGCAGTGCCATCCAGCAGTTGCACCCACCAGTGCCACCCAACAGTGCCCATCAGTGCTGCCCATCAGTCAGTGCTGCCAGTCAGGGCTGTCAATCAGTGCGATCAGTCAGCCTCGCCCATCAGTGCTGCCTATCAGTGCCACCTATCAGTGCTGCCTATCAGTGCCCATCAGTGCTTCATATCATTGCAGCATTATCAGTGCCTCCTCATCAATGCCCACCAGTTCCACCTCATCAGTGCAGCCTATCAGTGCCACCTCATCAGTGCTGCCTATCAGTGCCCATCAGTGCTGCCTATCAGTGCAGCCTCATCAACGCACATCAGTGAAGAAGAAAAATTACCTGTTTGCAAAATGTTATAATAGAAACAAAGAAAAACCTTTTTTCTCAAATGTTTTGCTCTTTTTTTGTATAAAGTGCAAAAAATAAAACACACAGTGGTGATTAAATATCACAAAAAGAAAGCTCTACTTGAGTTTAAAAAAATGATAAAAATGTAATATGGGTACAATGTTGCATGACCGCACAATTGTCATTCAAAGTGCGACAGTGCTGAAAGCTGAAAATTTACCTGAGCACGAAGGGGGTATAAGTGTCTGGTAGGCAAGTGGTTAATGGGGGAAGGTGTGCTTTAGGTTAATTTTGTATACTTAAAGCTGAGATCTCACGTAAGCAAATATTGTATATACGGCGTGTGCCTTTTTATTTGAATGTGGGAGTGTTTGGTGTATTTCTTCCAGTACTGTGCAGTAATCCAGTGTGAAACCTTTCCTCTATGTAGGAGCTTCCTATAATACAAACAGTGCAGGAGGGGCCAACTGCAAGGGTAGATTTTGTCTAATTCCTGGAATTCATCTTTAAGTCCCGTACACATGGGCCAAATACCGGGAGTTATCAGAAAGCAGCCAACATTTGGCCTGTGTGCATGGCAGCCGGTCCAGTTTCGTTGAAGGGGCATCAACGGCAGTCTGGGTAAACACTCCTTATGATGTGAACTGTAGACCACAGAAAGCCAAAATGAATGCTGGCTGGTAATCTCACACATTCACACATTACTTCTTTATTATTTTGTATTGATAACTGTACCATTTTTAATCAAAAGTCTGTTTCTTTACAGATTCGATCACAGTATTCACAGGTCAGTGTTTCTTGGATGAGTCTGGGCAGCAGGTTCTTTATACCACATGGCTGCTGAGGTCAGAGGCTCAGAATCTTCAGGATAACTGGTCGCAAACAAGGTATGGATGCATGGTGACATAGGGCATATCCAAGGTCTGGTTAACTAACTAGTCGCATATTTAGTACAAGCAAAGCTCCAAACCAAAATGGTAGTGTGAATCAGCACTAGCAACATAAGTCCAAAAGTAACAATCTTTTATTGTAAAGCAAAATGCATATAGCAGAGGCACTATGATAAAAAAAAATCTAACAGCTTCAACTTAAAGCAGAAGTCCAGTAAAAATAAAAAGTCAGCAGCTACAAAAATAGTAAACAGCCACTCACCTGTCCCACAATCCAGCAGTGTACTCACCACAGCCGGGTTCACCGGCCGTCCTCTCTCCCCAATGCCAGCATCCTAAGTGTGGGCCACCTGACTGTAACAGCTTGCGGCTTCACAGCGCATGGGCAAGTAGCGTTGCACCTTGTGAATGGTCTGGTTGTCTCCTGGGACCTGTCACATGTCCCAGAAGACTACGGGGAGGGAGAACAACTCCTAGGCGATCGCAGCGAAAGTGGAAGCAGGTACCTGTCAAAATTGGGTACCTGCTCCCCCCTGCACCCCAAAGGTGCCAATCCTTAATGGAGTGGGGGACGAGGCCTTAAAGTGGAACTTCCCCTTTTGGGTGGAGCTCCGCTTTAAGCAAAGATAAGGTCTCTTGCACACAGGCAAAAAAAGAAGAGTCTATGTGCATATACTGTAAAATATGTCTGTTGTTGTGTCACCCAGGAACCACGCCTGCAGCTTATTTTAGCCCATGGGACTGCATTACAGAAAATACTGTGCACATGTAAGCACTGGCACTGGCGTGTACTCATGCATGCGCATGGCAGGATTTTTGAAAACGCAAAATTTAACATTTTGAACAATACACATACACAAGTACACACCAGTACCAGTGGTTGCATGAGCATGACGTTCACTGTGATGCAGTCCTGTAGGCAAAAAAACCCTGCTGCCGTGTCTCTTCTTGGGTGCCACAACAACAGATTTTCTTACACTGTATGTCCATACTCTCGACTTTACAGCCATGTGCAAGAGGCCTAAGAGCCAATTCACTTGTGTGCGGTGCAGTGTGGATTGAAACTCAGGTTTCACAGCTAAATGGCACAGTAGTTGTTCAGCCGTTCAGGACAGGTTTACATCAGGTTCAGGACAGGATCAAGTCAGTATTTGATCCTGTTCACACGTGGTTTATAAACAGTTTCAATAGAAGTCAATAGCCTGTAATCTGCACCTGAACCGGACTGCACTGCTCAGAAATCGTACAGGACTCTTTTTCAGTCCACACCAAGGGCGGACTGACTATTTGCAAACTCGGGTACTGCCCGAGGGCCCGGAGTCAGTAGGGGGCCCCATAAGATGCCCCTGGTACCTTTTTCATAGGCTTTTTTGAGTTTGGCCAAGGACACAGGGGCCCCATGATCCCCTATTGCCGGGGGCCCCATGAGTTGTCAGTCCGCCCCTGGTCCACACTGAATCCGTACTGCAGCAATACACTGGACATATGTGAACAGTCACCATAGGAAGCAATGTTATTTCACATATCATGTGGGTTGGATGTGGTTCAAATCGCATCCAATCTTTGTATATGTGAACCAGCACTCTAGGTTAATATAGCAATATTTCACAAACAATAAAAAATCAGCAATTTTGTTTGGCAAATTGATACCCTAACCCAAGACAAAACCCCCCCCCAAAAACAGCAAAACAAAGAGAGAAAACATACTGTATGCCTCACATGTAGCAGATGTTCACATATGAAATATGGAATTTTTTATTCACAAATCAGCTTTTCTTTTAATTCATTAAATTATCTTTTTTTCAGGGTTGGGTATAATATATTCCGCCCCGTGCTGAGGAAATGAAACTGAAGGAAAGCATTACCTGCTCTACCACAATTTCAAATCTTTATAAAAGCCAGAAACGATTGAATAAGTTAAATGAGTGCATTTTCTTTTCTTTCTAAATGTAGAGTAGTGAATAATCATGAGATGGCCAGATCAGGCCAGATGTACTGCCAGTGTGAGTAATTACATAGGTTTGAAATGTAAGACTGCAAAGTAGGAAGCAGTAGGAATCTTGTGCCCCAATGTACATATATAGTTGCAAATTGCACATACATACAAAATTTTGAAAATATATCTGTTCTAAATGCATAACAAAAAAACTCTGAAAAAAACATACATTCTTTTTAAAACCTACTTCTCAGCTCACAATGAAAGCAAGAGTCTCAGTTGCAGACATTTGCAAATATACACTATATTGCCAAAGGTATTGGGATGCCTGCCTTTATACGCACATGAACTTTAATGGCAACCCAGTCCTAGTCTGTAGGGTTCAATATTGGTTGGCCCACCCTTTGCAGGTATAACAGCTTCAACTCTTCTGGGAAGGCTGTCCACAAGGTTTAGGAGTGTGTCTATGGGAATGTCTGACCATTCTTCCAGAAGCATTTGTGAGGTCAGGCACTGATGTTGGATGAGAAGGCCTGGCTCGCAGTCTCCGCTCTAATTGATACCAAAGGTTTTCTATTGGGTTGAGATCAGGACTCTGTACAGGCCAGTCAAGTTCCTTCATGCCAAACTTGCTCATCCATGTCTTTATGGACCTTGCTTTGTGCACTGGTGCGCAGTCATGTTAGATCAGGAAGAAGCCATCCCCAAACTGTTCCCACAAAGTTGGGAACATGAAAGTGTCCTAAATGTCTTGGTATGCTGACGCTTTAGGAGTTCCTTCACTAAAACTAAGGAGGTCAAGCCCAACCCCTGAAAAACAACCCCAAACCATAGTCCCCCCTCCACCAAACTTTACACTTGGCACAATGCAGTTAGGCAAGTACTGTTCTCCTGACAACAGCCAAACCCAGACACATCCATTGGATTGCCAGACAGAGAAGCGTAATTTGTCACTCCAGAGAACACATCTCCACTGTTCTAGAGTCCAGTGGTGGCATGCTTTACACCACTACATCCAACGCTTTGCAGTGCACTTGGTGATGTAAGGCTTGGATGCAGCTGCTCGGCCATGGAAACCCATTCCATGAAG